TTTATCAATGCCGCGGGAGGAGGACGGCATATTTCCAGGTTAAGTTTTTACTCCAGAAACCAAACGGTCCGGGAAGGGCGGAGGCGCTCATGATTTTTTTTTTACGCCTCTTCCCGATAGCCATCAATCAGACAAGTTGCGATACCCCCCCTTATTTTTTCTTGGGACAGCTCCAGATTGAGCCCCCCCCCCAAAGGGGGCCAAACGGAATTCGGGTTGGGTTGGATTTTTCCACTTAGAAGACATGAAGGATTGAGGAACACTTTCGGCGTACATAGACTTTCTTTCCACATTCTTTACACTCGCTTACACCCCTCTCCACATTACATGGACGACATTGGTTTTGATTCCTGATTAGGTTACTTCACCTTATTCGGCACATACACTTTTTCTCGGAAATGAATTCAGTCGATACCGCTATTGCCAGTCATTGGAACGTTTTGTGCTTCTTTTCTCCCTCGTATTGCTAAACTTGATTGCATGTCGTTGCTTGCTACGATATAGGTAGGGGTCCGAGGCCCCTCCCCCCCCCTTCTTGGCGCCCATGTGCCTGGCTCCAGTGTATCGTCCAGCCCGATGACAAAGACGAAAACCCTGGCAGGCAAGGCAGGGAAACACCGCAGCTGGGTGTCGGCCTCTGCGGGACAACACCCCTGGAGCGGATCCCAAAGGGAGGCTCCACTACAGGGGGGTGTTGCGCTGCTAAGAGCCGAAGGTCGGGTGGAGTGGGGGTATTGCCTGCTTGTAGAGGGAACCTTCCGTGGAGTCGTGACGCGCAAGCCATGCTTGCGTCTGCTGAGCACAAGTCTACGCCGAGTTTTGAGACGGCATCTGAAAGGACAGCCCAGCCCAGCCCACCCGCCTGACAATAAAACAAAACCAACAATAAAGAAAAGGCCCGGGAAGCAAATTATCGGTCGGTCGAAGCCCTGGACTGGAAATCAATGGACGCTCGCTAGAGGCCCTGGAAATGGTCAGTCGCCCAGGCACGCTCATTAGTTTCAGGGGCGAAAGGTACGGCAGCGTAGCACCACCGCTGGAGAGGAAGGGGGAGGGGGCTCTCCAATCGATTAGGTATGGTGAGATGGTTGCGGCACGCCGCAGATTTTGGGTTCGACAGAGCGCGAAGCAGCAGCATTCCTCTTAGTGCTGGACGCGGGAATCAATATGTGATCAACCCAAAGGGAACGCGCCCACCTGAAGGCATTTTGGGCCCTGAAATTGATGCGACTCTGGCAGTGACACGTCATGCGGATGGTTCTCGTCTCTGCGCGCCGTGCCATGTGGTGTGCTTCGTGGGGACGGGAATTCCTGTGCATTGTCCCGCCTCCGTGGTCCCCTAGCTGGTTTCGGAGCCATGGAGAGTAGTAGGAACGACAAGACCATTCATGTACATGGTATACTGTTGGACTTGAAGGCAGAGAGCGCACTTGGTGCCTTGTTGCCTTGGTGCCGGGCGTGTGCTACACGTTGACGCTACCCGTTGGCGGCTGGATACACGGCAATAATGGGACAACGGGTCACTCGCAGCCTTTTGAGTGTGAGGCTGCCTGCGGCATACTTTGTACAGAGGTATGGTACCTAGATAATGCAAGATATACATACTCAAATATCCGATACCCGAGGCAATGGGGAACAATGCAACTCTGCGCTTGAACTCCTGATCCCTTTCTCATTTCCCTCCATGTCACGACGTCTCCTTCTTCGGTTCGGTCTTCTGAGACGCCTCCTCTTTCTCGCCAAATGCCTTGGATGCCTGTATATCGGATCCACTCTCTGGCGAGGGGGGTCCCTTCTCTGCCGCCTCGTCGGCTGGTTTTGCTTCGGCGGCGTCTACCGTCGCCGAAGACGGAGTTGGATCCGCTGTTGCTGGTTCTGGCTGCGCTGGCTGTGCTGGCGCCTCAATTTGCTTGGAGTTAATGATGCTTGTCAGATGTTCGCCCGTCGTTCCGAACCCGTCGACTTTGCCAAGCTTGGTAACGAGGAAGTCTACATCGCGCCGCATACTGCACGTGCGTTAGTCAATGAACCGTTCAAAACACGTGGATGTCTCTGGAGATGTCTTACCTGTCTTGGCCGGCCGGGGTCCTCGGGTCTGCCGCTTGGAAGACCGTACCCAGCTGATCCTTGTAGCTCGCGAACACGGGGCCCATGATCATCTGCACAGCACCTTCAGGGAGATGTTTGGTCAAGACGCGATGGAGTGTTGTTGTTTCCTTCGCCAGCGTCTCCATGTACGGGCGGACCGCCCTGCTGCCCTCGCTGTCCCAGTCGATGGCCTTGACAGCCTTGGAATGTTGCGCCGCACGCCCGCTCATTATGTCGACCAGCTTGTCGTAGATGCTGTTCTGGTGCTCCTGGAACAGCCTGCGGACCTTGTCGAACTCGGCCATCAGGCTTGACACGCCCGCTCCCGAGCCAGCACGACGTCGAACAAATTCGCGAATGTGGGGAATCAGTGTTACAATCAGTGACAGAGCCTGAGACGCGAGCGCTAGGTGTCTCGTGGTGATGTTCTTCAGACCGGCGGATCGAGTCGCGCCGGCACCCAAAATGAGCTGGGTGCATCGGGAATTGAAGAGATGTAGGTAGGCAATCAGAGATGTGGCGACGTCGGTCGTCATCGAGGGAATGCCGGCCATCAGGTGCATGAATTGCGACAAGCCCTCGAGACAGAGTATGGCCGAGTTTGGCAGAAGGAAGCTCTCGCCCTCAATCATTGCTGTCCGCGTCTTTTCCTTGCCGGTGCCGTTGGGTTCTGAAGCCGCCTCGTCTCCATTGGTTCGGAATT